GTAAGTATCTCCTTCAAAAGTCCCTGGGCCACGCATTGGCCTCCTTGTCTCAGTGCCCGCCTGAACTGCCCTGTCTGGGTGAAGCTCTCAGTTAAACAGCCCCCATTTTCACCGTGCTCATCTCTCCATCTGGGCTGTTGTATCTCCACCTGAGCTGCTACAGCAGGCTGGTGAGCTGGGGCACCCCGAAAAAGAGGATGTAGCCTTGGCTGCATGGCTCCATTGCCACTGTCTCACTAAAATGGGGCTTTTTATTAAGTCAAAGAACAGCTCATGTAGCTGCTGCTGTGAAGCTGGTGCTGGGCACAGACCCAGTTCCCATTCCATGGTCCATGGTTCACGCTAGTACTGTATCTCATGGTGTGCAAAGGGAAAAAGCTTTTGCTATCAGCTAGAGATACCAGTCTGCCCTGATGGACCCTGTTTTGTGTTTGATACCGATCTCCACAGTCTCTGTGCATCACCTTCCCCAGGAGTGGTGCTGCAGCACAGGGCAGCTCTGCGCACAAGAGGCAGAGGAAGGGCTGTCTTCTTGAGATGAAAAGTGATGTCTGATCTCTCAAATGTGGTAATTGTACTGTAACCTGGATTAATCTGACCCTCTGATGCATATAATAGAACTGCAAATTTTGCTGAGCAATGTTTCATGAGCAGGCTCACCAAGGGATGCTTATCTGGAGCATGAGCTTCCCTCATGCCAAATAAGGATCTGAGATGTGTATTTGAAGGACCCTTTCAGAAACATTCGCTTAAGCTGGGAGCTTCTAGGGCTGGTTCAGTCACTGTAGACCGGCCCAAGTCATTAAAGGAAGAAAACAAAAACCAGGTATATTTTATTGCTTTTCAGTTTCCCCAAAGCTATTTTGACACACAGGGTGAACATTCACTAGGAACTACTTAATGCTTTAATTAGCTGCACGTGAGTAATAAGGGCTCTCATGGTAAATATTAAGAAAGATGAGTACGTAAGGGCTCTCGGGCCTTGTCAGCTTAGTCAGTGTGGTCACATCTCTCTCTTTTGGCTGCCACAGCCTGGAGCAGGAATCGACAGTTCTTAATGCTTAGCAGCCTTTGGTGCTGTTCAGCTGTATGGACTGAGTGCATTGCTGTGCTTGGGTTATGAATGCTATTGGAAATGTAAAGGGATAGCCTTAAGGAATTGTTCCCAGAGGAGACAGTTAAAGGTGGCTGTGGGCTTTTTGCATATACCACAGAAATTTGGATAGAGGGAAGGAAAGGATTTTTTATTTAAAGATGAAACTCAATCAGCAGTAGGTGAGTGCACTACCCAAATTGCTTCCTCAGGTAATTAGTGGGAAATAATGAAGCAAGAGCCCACCCAAGCCTAAGAGTCAAAACTGTAGTCACAGTGTCCAAATCCTTCTTGAATTCACATAGGCTTGGTGCTGTGACACTTCCCTGGGGAGCCTGTTCCAGTGCCAAACCCCTTTTACAAAGGGTAAAAAACCTTTTCCTAATACCTAACTTCACCTCCCCGACTCAACTTCATGCCATTTCCTCTAGTCCTGTCACTGGTCACAAGAGTGAAAAGATCAGTATCTGCCCCTCCACTTCCTCTCATGAGGAAGTTGCAGACTGCAATGAGGTCTCCCCTCAGTCTCCTCTTTTTCAGGCTGAACAGACCAAGTGACCTCAGCCACTCCTCACACGGCTTCACCTCCAAACTCTTCATCGTCCTTGTTGCCCTCCTTTGGACACTCTAACAACTTAATGTCTTTCTTATATTGCAGTGCCCAAAACTGCACACAGTATTCAAGGTGAGGCCACATCAGTGCAGAGCAGAGCAGGACAATCCCCTCCGTCGACCGGCTGGTGATGCTTTGCCTGATGCCTCCCAGGACACGGTTGGCCCTCCCAGCTGCCAGGGCACTGCTGACTCATATTCAGCTTGCCATTGAACAGGACTCCCAGGTCCCTTTCTGCAGCACTGCTCTCCAGCCTCTCGTTCCCTGGTCTATACACACAGCCAGAGTTGCCCTATCCCAGGTGCACAATCCAGCACTTGCCTTTGTTAAACTTCCTGTGGTTGGTGATTGCATATCTCTCTAATTTGTTGAGGCTTCTCTACAGGGCCTCTCTGCCCTCAAGGGAGTCAACAGCTTCTCCCAATTTAGCATCATATGCAAACTTAGTATGCCATAGAATCCTACGTCCAAGTTGTTAATGAAGATGTTGAAGAGAACTGGGCCTAAGATGGAGCCCCGGAGAACTCCATTAGTGACTGGACATTGTGGAATTCACACCTTATTTCCCTCCTGCTTCAGGCTCCATCGCCCTCAGAATAAACCCAGCTCCCCTCACCTCCTAGCAGATGTGCTGCCTTCTCTGTATCAGTGCTTCTGTGACCTAGATTGAGGGAAGGCAGTTTGAGTCCCCTCTTAACTTCTTTGCCAGCTGGCTGCTGCTTTCCAAGGCTCTCATGGGAGCACAAGGCTGTGATTCAGCTCCCCCACTTTAGCATTGTGCAGCAGAGTTGTGCCTGCCTGAGTGCAACCCCCCTGACTCCAAGCAAACAATTGGCCCCAGAGGAGGCAGCTGCACCCCAGGCTCCCCAAACAGGCAGAAGCTAGAATAATATACAGCTCTCTTGTTCCCATTTCTTCATAGTTATATGGCAAATGCTGGAGCAAAAATACTGCTGCAAATACTTTGTGCAATCCTCTGAACGTCTTTATTAATGATCAGGTTGTAGAGTCTCACTCTTTGGAGATACTCAAAAGCTGTCTGGATATGGTCACGGACAACCAACTCTCAGTGGCCCTGCTTGAGCAGGAGGTTGGACAAAATGATCTCCAGAGGTCCCCTACAACCTCAGCCACTGCATGACTGTGGTTTAGGGCACTGCCTTAGCCCCCCACCTGCTGATTTACTGACACTCATGAACTTGCATGTTACCAGAGGAAGCATGAAACTGCTCCCCCCAGGGACTCTGTAGTGGCTTTGTGTCAGCATGATGCCTCCAGTACACCTGTATCTTATGTTCCCTAATTATATGGCCAGATGAATTTACTGACCCTTCCCTGAGCCAGGCCATCATTTCCTTTTTCAGCAGTGTTGTTTTTGCCTACCCAATGCATTACTTAAGCTCTGAGGTAGTTATTGCCTGCACAAGCAGCACCAGCAGCACTTAGTGGATGTTGAACATTTGAGTCTGGCACCCCTAAGCTTTGGGATATGGCTCCATCTGCCTCCAGCCCCCCATTCCTGATCCTCCCAACAAGTTGCACTTCAGAGCAGAATGACCATGAGGCACTGGGGTTTAAAGGAGCTAATGTTGGTTAGTGGGGGCTGCTTGGCCCCACAGAGATGCCAGAAGGTGGACTAAGCCCTTTTGCTGCAGTCTTAGTCTTTTCCCAACAAGAAGCAAGAAATTCTCAGTGTAATGCTTTAGAATAGAAGTCATCAAAAAGGTCTCTAGGGATGTAAAAGGGTAATTTACACCATGTGTTTATTTAAAAATGAGTCAAGTAAATTTGATGTTGTAAAATATACAAACTTGAAGAAATAAACATACAAACAGAGGCAGGAAATCTGGGTGGCCACACTCGCCATGGGGGGAACCACTGTAAAACTGCCCCTATTCCAGAGCCTTCTTATCATGCCCTGATGATACCACACACTTCCTTACTCCTGCAGATGCCCTGCCTACAGATCACCCCATGCACTCTTCTGATACCAGAGCTGTGATTTTTCTCTCCCAAGTCACTTGCTGTGCACTAGTACACAGCTGACACTGCAGCACACCCAAAATCATCTTGGCCTCCTCCCAGTCTTCTTCTCCCTGGGAGTTTTGCATGTGTATGTTGTTCCTCATCCACAGTTACACATCGCTGCTCTCCCTGCTGTGCCTCTCCCAGGACCTCCCTCCTCTTCACAGCCTTTCCCTCCCCATTGCCGCCTCTGTCAGGATTAGAGAGCCCTTAACAGAAAATGCTTTGCCATGCTCTATCACATGGAAAAGTGGCCACTGAGTCCTGGTCACAGGGTAAAGAAACCTCCTTGGGTTTACACCCACTACATCAATGGGGCTGCAGATCTCAGGGCCCAGCTCCCCAGCTTGTATTAAACCCATAGGGACTGATGGGTCCCAAATAGCATGCTTCTCTTTCATCATGGACACGTTGCAAAGCAGAGATACTTGGGGCAGTTTTGCCTGCAGAAACATGATGTGAGGGGACATGGGTGAGTTTTTAATGTGGAGCTGTTCTCCCAGGTCCTCCCAGGCTGATAGGGGCTGTTTGCAGTGCTGAGCAGTGCCAGCCATGCACCCTGCTCTTTTCCAGCATCACGGATAACACTGCTGGGAAGCAGTCAGTCCTGCGACCAGCACACACTCAACTGCTTGGCCACAGTACACAGCTGTTTGAGGTGTGTCAAACTCCTGTCAAACAGCACAGGAGAGGCAGGGGGGAATGTTGTTTGTGCTGGCTACAATAAACACTGGTTTTACATCTCCCAGACAGAGTCAGCTATCCCCTTGGGGTGCTTGAAATGCTGGAATTCACCAGCTGTTTTCTTTGGACACTGGTGTGTTGTATGTGGACAGAAACTGAGTTGTGCTGTTGGACCAGGCTCATCCACCAGTCTGCTGTGCCAAGAAAACTCTGCCCACTACTAGGACATCTGTCTGCTTTATAAACAGCAGGTCTGTTTGCTCTGGTCTGTGGCCCTCTGGAAGAGAGAAGGAAGGTGCTCAGCCAAGGTCACGGGGAGAGCTGGGGGAGGGCAACTTCCCAGGCTCCAACCTGATGGCTTCATCTCTGTCTCTTCCTTCTGCAGGTCCCCACTGGCTTTGAGCAGGGGAATAGAAAACACAGCATAAAATCCCAGCTCCTGAGGCAAGTGACAGGTCTCAAGCAAGGAGCTGTCTTACAGGTCAGAGAGAGAGTACTCTGAATAACGTATGCTGTGCACAGTGCCCATGAGGTACTAAACACATGATGGCAGCACACAGGACCTGGGGCTGCTTTCACAGAGACTCAGCTGCGGAGCAGTTCCTGGGAGCAGCCAGCAGCTTTGAACCCTTCCGGGATGTCGCTGTCCAGTTTAGAAATGATTTTGTAAATAGGTTTCTTCCAGGAGGGGTCGGCGTCCTTGCCCGCCCTGACAGCACTGAAGAACTCCTGCAGCGTCAGACTGGCCACCTCCAGGAACCGCCCTGGCACCTGCAGCAAGATGGGCATCAGCCCATGGCACCACCATGTTCCTGGCTCCTCCTTACCCCTGCAAACCCCACCATCCCTATCCCCCAGCTCCCCCTCCTCACCTCGAAGTCGTTCCCCTTGTTGTAGTGCATGTTAAGGGCACGGAAAAGCTCTGAGTCGCGGGAGACCTGGAGGGTGCAAGCATCCGCAACGCCCTCTAGCAGGGCCTGTCGGGCAAACTTCTCCACCTGGATGTAGTAAAACTCACGGAAGTTGCTGAACCACTTGATGAGCTGGGAGGTGATGCAGCGGCTGAACTGCCAGGGAGAGAAGGAGGATGAGTTATGTCAGCTTGGAGCCTCCCTACGCATGAGCCCCCACAAACCCCGCTACACAATTCTGGCCTGGCCCAAACCCAGCCTTGCCTCAGGCCTGCCAAAACACCAGCTGGGACAATGACACAGGGGTGTCCACAGTGCTCTCCCCGCTGAGATTTGGATCTCAGCTGCCCTGAAGTAGGAAGACACATTCATGATATGCTTTAATCCCAACACCTCAATTGCACAGAGCGAAGACTTGGCAACCCAGTTCTGCCACAGCCCTGAGCACCTGCTCCAGGGCAGCTCATGCTGAAATGGGTGCTGTCCCCTGGCTCCTGCCAGCAAGGCAGGGAAACACAAGAGTAGCCCCTTCCTCATGGTTGCCCAGTGAGGCAGGCTAAGTGCCACACTGCATGGGGGCATCAGCCCAGGGTACTGCCATTTTACCTGCACATCAAGGAAGTAGGTCTTCAGCAGAGTGGAGCTGGGGTAGCGAGTGAAGAAAAACATCAGCTTGGCCTTCTTCAGGTGGCCAGGGGTCAGCGCCTCCTGCATCTGCCTTGGGGTCAAGGAAAACCTGCACGCAGCAGCCCCCCCAGCTCAGCGTGTCCCTGAGCACCAGCCCTGACACAGACATACCCAGTGCCCATGACAACTCCTCCCCACAACCTGGCAGCAGGGCACAGGGGGTTCATTTCTGGCTGGGCAGCCACTGGATTTCCCCTTCAGCATCCCTGAAGAAGTTAATGATCCCCTGGCACTGTACAGGTTAATGGGAACAGGGATTTTCATGAGACACCTGTTCATAGCATAGGATTACAGGACCTTAGTATGGCCTAAGAACAGGCTTGGGAGCTCCTGACCCACAGCTATGCTACAGCATCTAACCAACCTTGAGGACCAGCAGTGCCCCGAAATGGCTTAGGACCTCCTTCTTGCTCACACCCTTTTAGCCCCCTGTGGAGCAGCAGGGACCCTGGCCTTGCACAGACCGGCAGGGGCTGTGCCAAGCTGTGGCTCCAAAGGACAAGGGGACCACATTCTCCAGGGACCTCTCTAGCTGCCCCTAAAGGATATCTGAGTCGAGGCAAAGGGTGTTCCATCCATCGCAGCTGGCAGGTCGCTGTGGCCATCCCTGCCAGCCGGCAGCATTGCCAGACTCTCCATGTTGGCAGGGCTCAGGGGCAAGGGGTGGTGCTGCTGCTGTCTCACAACCGATGACCTCAGTTTGACAGTTCCCCAGTGTAAGCTGAGGGGCTCTGGAGGACACCTCTCCAGAGCAGATGGGCTCCCACGAGAGTCGGTGCCCCAGAGGCTGTGCTGGCCATAGTCCAACAGCTGGCTCAACAGCTGGCTGTCCTGGACAGGGGTGACCGGGCCCAGTGAATAACCCATGCTGGGTATCTGAGAGGATTTTCTGATGCCCTTTGAACTGAAGGAGCCAGCATGAGAGCCCGGGCTCTTCTCCAAAGTTCCTGGCAGGACTTTAGCTTGAGCTGAGCCCAGTGAGCCTGGTGCATTCATGGGAGATGGCTCAGCAAGTGGCTTTCTGCATTTCCCACCAGTAAAATACTCTCTCCTGGCATCTGGCCTCAGCACCAGGCAGCTGTTGTGCTGCTGCTGGAGGTGGCTGGCTGCCTTCGGCCAGACAGTCTTCAGGACAGAGTCTACCACCTGGGACGTTACCCCGGCCAGCTCATGCTTCAGTGCCTGTGAGAGGACCCTCACTGCTGTGGGCAGGCCACCTGCATCACATTTGTCCTCATCCTCCTCCAGCCCACACACCTCCAGGATGCTCCTCCTGAGAGGTGCTTTGCAGGGGTTCCTGGTGACAGTGGCACTGTCCTTATCCAGTCTGTCTCTAGGCCTTTCAGGAAGTGGCTGCACTTTCTCGGAATCTTCCTGGGTTTGAGCAGCATCTGCAGAGTCATAGACCTGGTAGAACTTTTCCTGAAGCCGCCTCAGCTGCTGCTCTAAAAAGCAGAGCTGCTCCTTCAGCTGCTGGCAGCCCTTGGCATGGGAGCTGCCACCCATGGGGGCCACTCGTCCAGCCACCCCCAGGCCCTGCGGGGGCACCCTCGGCTTCCTCTTGTTCTCCGGGGGTATCTCACTACCTCTCTCCCTCTCATGCCTAAAAGCTGCCTCCAGGCTGGTGTCAAATGCCTGAGGGGTTGGTGGGAGGCTTATGCCTTGGATGATGCTCTCCACCCTGGCCCTCTTGGCTCGTAGGTGCTGGTTGGAGAGCTGGTCCCCATCACTAGCACAGGGCATGGGAGCTGAGGCACGGGTCCTGGGGAAAGCCAGGGCTTGTGCTCCTTCTCCAGGAGATGCACCACACTTGTCCTGAGGCAGGGCAACTGCCTGAGAGGAAGGGAAAAGGATGGTGGAATCCAGGCTCCTGCCAAACATCGGGTGGCTGAGGAACTGTGATATGAGGGATGCATTGGAGGAAGGCAAGAGAGAGTCAGTCTGGAAATAGGGCTCCGAATTCAGCCCCTGGCCATGCCCTGAAGTGGCATGGCCTCTGTCCTGCTCAAAGCCAGTCCTGCCATCCATTTTGTCTTCTTCCTGCCTGGAAACTGGAGAGCTGACCTTCAGCTGGTTGGGGATCATTTCCAGTGTCAGACTAGCAGGCTTCCCAGGTGTTAGATGTTTCAGCCTGCTAGCAGTGTGGAACTGGAGAAAGAGCAAGAAACAGGACCTCGTACAGCAGTTCTCCATGCACATGGCCAGATATTTTTCCTCACAGATTTCTGTGGCATGGCTGCTCCCCTGCAAAAACTATTTCACCAGGGAATGACCCAGGCAGAAACCTCCAGGCACTGCAAAACCTATGAGCAGGCTGTTGGATGTCACATCACAGCAGCAATGCCCTGGGCACTGCCACAGCTCCCACCCACCAGCCAGGCATTCATTGTGCCCAGAGTACGTTTTACCTGGTTTGGGCCCCAGATGTGCCTGGTAACACACCGCCAGCTGCATCCACACCAGAGGCATTTGAGGAAACTCCCTTCTGGGCTTGTGGACTCAGGTACAAGGGAGGTGAGCACCAGGTGGAGCCCTCTGCCACATATGCCTGGGCAAAGGTGGTTTTGGGTGCTCCTGGGTGCTGACAGAGCACAGAACAGCACCTGCATCCCTGGTGAAGGCATTCACGCCAGGGCATAGTTGCTGCTGGCTTCTGCCAGCCCCTAGCACCCACCAGCAGAGCCACCAGGGCATGAGGATGGGTGGCAGCACTGGGGGGCTGGGCCAGCTCAAACAGGCTGGTGGAAAGGGGCACAGCGAGGGTAAAAGTGTGATGTGACCTGCTGCGAGCGGGACCCACTGAGATGTTCAGGCAAACACAGCACAGGGTTCCTAAGTGCTTGGCAAAACAATGAATAAAAGGAATGGGGATAGGGATTATCAAGGAAGAGAAAAACTACTGAGCCAGCAGCCCTGGGCTTAATATAGTCATGCTGACTCCACTCAGGGATCCACCCCCTCCACTCATTCCCTCACTCAGGCAGTTTTTCAAAAGAAGGTGTAAAACCTCATATCCTGGGCAATTACACAGTAACTATTCCTCTGAGATACTTCTTTCTCATCCACATTAATTAGCAGTAGCTTTGCACCGCTGAATTAGGACAGTTTGTGTGTTTTCCAGACATCTTTAAAGTCTGAGATTCTTTTGCTATACCCAGAAATGTCTGATCATTTTCAACACCATCAGTCTCCTGTCCCCATGATGGTCTGCTCCACGGCGAGTCCTCCAGGCAGTGTAGAAAATGGATTTCTTCTCACTGTTTTTTAGCAGGTTGCCTTTCTTCAAACAGCCCTGTATTCCAGGCAGGTGTCTAGGAGAGCTCTACCTTTTTTGGAGCTCTAGTCTTTACAAACCAAGTCTTTTCTGGGTTATCTGACACCCCTCGTTGCTCTCCTGTGTTGTCTACCCACCCCTCTTGACCAGTAGGATTTCATTTTCCTAACAGTCTGTTGTGGGGGCTTTCAAACTGCTCAGTTTATCAATGGCCAGTGCAAGGCCAGGCTGCCGGCAGCTCTCAGCATCACACCTGGCGCCGGTGTAACAAGCTTCACCATTGCCTGCAGTTGCCACTTAGCATGCCAGCTGCATCCAAGAAAGTCACACAGCAAACACATTGCAGCCATAGACTTCATCCCCCTTAAGCCTTTCTGCAAAGGCATGGGCACAAGACAGCCAGTCCTGCTACCTCACTTGTTTTGTGACAGAAACACCTTTTGGCACTTGCTCACAATTCCTCACCTCTAGTGTGTTCAACAGGAGCACACAGGAGGGTCAGGGAGCTTACCTGTCCCCTGTGCTGAGGCTTCCCAGCCCCAGGAACCCGGGGCAATACACCCCTTGTAAGCAGATCAACTCAGAGCTAGCAAGGAGCCCTCCACTTGCTTAAGGTTTCCAGCACCACCATCTTTCTGCTGGAGATTTGGAGGGAGGGAGGGAGCAGAGCCTGCGGTCCCAGCTTGTGGCAGCTCGCTGTGGGTGGCCTCATTTCCCCCTCACAGCCTCACCAGCACTGCAGGGACCAGGAGGTGCTGTCCCAAGTCAACTGCTCCTGCTGATGCAGCCCTTTCCTGGTCAACTTAGCAGATGCGTGCTTCGGTTCCTACTCTTACTACCAGTTCTTACTCTTACTACCAGTGCCACCTTCTGGAACACTAAAAAGCGGCCGAGGCTCCTCTTACCTGAAGAAAAAGACTGAGGAACGAAGTGAAGATGCTTAGAAGAGAAGGCAAGTGTACCCTCTCCAAGACTGGAGCCAACCCACATGGGCTCCCCAGGTGCTCCTCAGTGAGACAGCCGTGCCACCCCTCCAGCACTGCAAATGCCCCCAGAGCCTTCCCCAGCCGCCACATCCCCCTGTCTTCAGCCGGCAGTCCCCAACCCTTGCAGCTCACACCTCTCCGCCCCACTCACCTCGGCTCCAGGGGCACGGGGAGCAGTGTCCCACAGTGTCCTGCAGTGTCCCGCAGGCAGGGGCTGTGGGATGCTGCAGAGCCAGCGCGTCCTCCTGCTGCGCTCAGGTCCTTTAAAGAGGGAGTGGGGAGGCCGGAGGCAGCCAACCAGCTGGGAACGACTTCTGAATATGCAGATGGACATCCAGGAGGTCGGGTCCAGCATCAGGCTCCAGCCACCTTCCCTGCCGCGGCCATTTCCCACACTCATAGCCCCTGGAGTCAGACAGGCAAGGGCTGCTGCTGAACCGCTGGCTGCCCAAGTGGGCAGAGAGCCAGAAGAGCAATTCCTCCCTACAGTTTGGCCTGGAAACCCCATCCCGGACCCAGGATGGTAAACCGCTGGTGAGACGGTGCAAATACACCAGACTGACAAGCAATGCCACAGGCAAGGAAGGAGCCGGCCAGAGCCCAGGTGCTACCCATCTCCCATGAAAAGCGCCCAGGCATTTCCCCCACCATGGGGACACAGATGCGTTTTGGCTGAACTGGAAGTCTGCAGTGTAGGACATGGCCAAGAAATGGGACAACACAGGAAGAGCAGCAATACAGGGTCCGATGTCACAGGGTGCTTTAGAGACAGTGCCACAGCCCGCAGAGCTGGCATCCCTCCCATCTGAGCACGCCCTAACACCAGCCCCAGGACAAACTACCTGCCCCAGGGGCACGTGTGGTTGTCAGACGCTTAACTTCGTGCCAGAGCTGCAGGTGGGCGGACAAAAGCCAAGCCACATGCGCCACTCCCGGGACTTCATCATGCTTACTGAGCATGGCAATGTTTAGGGTATTCACTGGATAGAGAGGAGGCTGTGGTTAAAAGCAGTTGACATCAGGTGGTCAAAAAACAGATCACAGAGAAATCCCTGGCAGAAAGCCTTTCTGGTTCAGTTGCCTTTTATTAAAGCAGTCAGCACATCCTCAAAACCTCAGGGACTATCCCCTGTTGCTTTTTATTCAACTTCTTTCCTTTGGAAATGATCCCATATTTTGAAGGTTGCAGTTCACCATTCATATATTATTAAGCAATGGATAAATTAAGGACATGTGCATAACCCAGACTTGGCTCCTTGAGAGATGCCTGGCTGCAAGACAGCCGTTTATAACTATCCCAGGCTAATTCTCAGGTTCTGCAAATAGGTTCATTGGGTTTTCTCCCACCAGTGGTTCCCCGCCTGGAAGCAGGCAGAAAACAGAAACTAGCTGGGGGATTCTCAAATATTTTCAGCATACAGACCACATCTGAGGAACAGGGCTTACTAGTCGACTCATTTGCCAGTTTGCCACAGGGAGATGACTTCATTGCCCATTTCTAACCATGCAACATCCCAGTGGCTGACGCTTGCGGCAATGTCATTCCACGTGAGCCCCATGGTTTGCCATGATGAGCAGGAAAACCACTGGTACAGCTGCCCTCCAGCAATCCGAAGCTGGTTCAATGAAGTGTGTCATGAAACGGCACTCTTTGGTAATACAGAGGATTATTTATCATTACGTATTTATCATATTTATTATTACAAGTACATATATTATGACATAATAATATGTATATACACAAATGTATGTGTTTATAGGTATATATGCAATACATACCCATTATATATGTATATTATTATTACATATCTGGTGATACGTAGGAATATTACAATTACACCCCCGTCCCCACCCTGTCCCTGTCCCTGTCCCTCCCCTCAGCCCTCTTCTCCCTCTGCCCCCCCCCCCGCGATGGTTCCGCATCTCCGACCGCGCTCCCCCCGTCCTGCGGCGGTTGGTGCGGCCCCGCGCGCTTCCGTGCCGCGCGGGGCCTGGTTCCGGTGTCCGCCCTGCGGCCACTCCCGCCGCTGCCGCCGCCGCCGCCGCGATGGTGCCGCTCTGGCGGTCCCGCTGCCTCGGCCGCGCGCTGGGCCGCTCGCTGCGCGCCCTGCGACAGGTACGGCCCGCGGGCAGCGCCTCGGGGAGCGGAGCAGCGAGGGAGGGCGGCGGCTGGGCGGGCGAGGTCGGCGGCGCCAAGGACACCGGGACGCGTCCCCTGCTGCCCGGCGCCGCCGCTCCGGGGCACGGCCCGGCGGGGCACGGGGAGGGGCGGCAGGGGTGCCCCTGCAACGGCCGCGGTGGGCGCCACGCTGTCCCTTCTCAGCGGGTGCCTCTGCCCCGACACCGCCCCGCCCGGCCCGGCCAGGCCCGGCCTGGCGGGAAGGGCGGCGGCACCGGGCAGGGCCTCCGATCGCCGCCGCCCTCGCCCGCCGGCGGCTGCAGCGTCTGGGGCCCCCGCTGTTGGCAGCCCCTGGCCTGCGCTGGCACAGACCCCCGGCGGGGTCCGCCCGGGGCAGGAACGGCAACGAACCGGTGTCTGGTTTGGTTTATGATTTCTGTGCTCGGCCTTCAGAGCAGCCACTGAACCGTGGCAAACGGCGGTGACCTGCGCTGGCGACACCGCGGGTGGCAGAGCCCGATGGCAGCTTAACCCTGGGGCTGCCCTTGGCCAGCTGGGTCCTGCTGTTCGATGACTCCTGGACACATCTTCCGTTTAAATAGCAAACATGCACAGCCTTTTGTGCGCACATGTATGTGCACACCTACAGGAGGAAAAATACCACTTCTCTTCCAGGTGACCAGCTGGAGCCTTAGAGCATGGGACTTGATTTTAGCCATTGTATAAATGTAGGCGAGCAAGTGTTGACAGTGGATTAACTATGTTATGCTTCCCCATAGGGTTGCTCTGCCGTAAATGCTTGTCTTTGGGCTTGACAAATAGGTTGTGTTTATAAACATGTAAAACTGCACTATAAACAACTTATAGCTAACTGTATAGTATAGTTTGTTATACATATATGTAGGTACAAATTGATTATAGTGCAGAGTGGTAGTAGTTTGGTTTCCATTTGAGCAGTGATATGGGAAGTAAGTTTTGAGACAGGGATAATACAAGCTCTTTGGAGAAACAGAAAAAAATGCCAGAACTTGGCAAACTTCTGATGGCAAAAGTGAGAACAGTAGACATGTAGAAAATTCAGGAACGGAGGGTTGAATGGGAGAAGAGTAGAGTCAGTGAGGGTGAGGAAGGGTTGACGGTTGGTAAAAGAGAAAAAGGTCCTGAATTCATATATCAAGTAGAAATCATGAATGTGCATCAATAGCCTGTAGCATGTAAGAGTCAGGGCAGGGGCAGGCAGCCGTTGAAGGATGACCTGAAAAAGTCCAGAAAAGAGCTGAAAAAGAATGGTTTGATCAGGAGCTGCGTTTGGTGCTTTGATAATCAAGTCCTGTTTATCTGGAAAGGTGTTTGTAAAGAACTTTTTCTTCCCTGTTTGATCCTCCTCTCTGCTGGAGGAGTTCTCAGCCTGTTGTCTTAGTAACAGTATCCTTCACCACTTAGCATTGTTATCTCCATCCCACCTTGACATCTGCCCCCCATGCTATATATAATAGTGTTGATATGCATGAAGGCTTTGCAGTGGGGTTTTTGTGTGCAGCAGTGGTTTGTGCTCATCCTTGTCGAACCTGCATTTGCTTTGCTCTGAAAAAGCCATGGCTGGTGAAGTGATTGATGCTCTGCCTGTTGTTGGAGCTGCCCAGCACTGGGCTTCTGTTTTGCCTCTGTTGAAATGAGCTGCACTGTCCTGTTCATCAAAGTTCTTACCTGAACTGGTCCCTGATCTCACTGTTGGTATACAGGCTGTTGCTTTAGCTGATGTATTCCATAATTTATTTCAGTGTGTAGTGACCTACTGGAAGGTGATGGCTCCTTGAGAGGTGTGGCCTGGGACGATGTGTACCAAGGTCACTTTGGCATAATAGCAGTTGTAAAAACAATTCTGAGAAGTCTTGTGAAACAAGGGGGAAAAATTAATCACTTGATACATGAGTCACTAGCTAATTAGACTAAGATTTCTTTCTTCAAGCGAAGGCTGTCTTTTTAAAATGACCCAAAGTGCTAATGCCAGGTAGCAAAACCAAAATGTTTCCACTTTCACTGAAAAGCTCCAATAGCAGGCAGATTTAGCCAGGTGATACCAGAACAGATGCAATCACAGTGATTCCTTCATGGAAAAAGGGAAGGGGAACAGCTCTATCAGGCATCTCCTGGAGCTGCATGTCATCTCTGAGGTACCATAGTTAAAAGGCAGGCACACGGCAGTTCTGCAGAATGCAAGCCAGAGAAATCTCAGGATTTTTCATTAGTGGTTTCCTCCTCACATTAAGCTCCTTCCCTCATTTCTTAACCTAGAAAATAGAAGGATAGAGTGGAACCGATTTTTTTCCTTCATTTTGCGGCAGTTGTGAAACACAGACTTGGCGCCTTGGGAAGAGAGCTGCAGATGTCTTTTCTCACAGCGATTTGTTTTAAGGACAGTCCTTCTGAACTTTTTTTTTTGTTTTAACTTGACAGTAAACTGGTCCTGAGCAAATAAAATTGTCTGGTTTTGCTTTATTCTGAGGCTGTTCCTTTCTTAACAATTTATTTTTTTAGCATGCTAGGAATGCCCTTAACCACTTTTTTAATAAAGCACCCAGAAAACATTAGTGGGCAGAGGGGAACTTAGGTCACATGGTATTCTATTTGGGACACTCTGGAAAGTGGGAAGAATTTGATCAACACAGGAACTACCATATATGCTGAGGATTGTGGCGCTTTAGATAGCTGGCCCAGTGGAGTTCAGTTGAAGTTTGTCTTACTGATCTTGGCTTAGGCCTGGCTCTACACAAACCAGATCTGAGTTAGCAGGGGCCAGTGCTGCACCAAGATTAAGCATTGTAGCATTCAAGATGACTCTGCAAAGTCTGCACAGTGCTTCCTGCTTTCCCTCCCCAGGTAGACTTGGGGCAGGGGCTCCAGTGAGCTGATTTTGCAGGACTGTTGTTCCAGGATCGTGGATCTCTGCAATGGACCAGAAAGCAGAGTAGCTGCATGGTGCTGTGCTGGACCTTAGGAACAAGTCAGCCTGGCTGCCTGCATCCTTGGCACAGCTAATCATAACCCTTTTGAAATGCCCATCTATCACTGAGTTGACTCTGTGTGAATATCCAAGAAACCAAATCCATTGATAAGATTGGATAATTAAACTGCCAATGGGTCAATTCCAGGCCTGTTAGTAGTTTTGATATGAACTATACACTGAATATATTTTTTTATGCTACAGCACTCAGTCCTGTAGATGGTGTGCCAAGCTTAAGTCTCTATGTTGTCTTACCACACAGCTCCCAAAATTATTCTGATATGTAAGATCAGTTATATCCAGTTATATCAGTTATTACTGATATGTAATATCAGTTATATCAGTATATCCTGCTTGCTCTGCTGAAGCTGAAATCAGGGCTTATATGCAGACTTCAGATACTGAAGGTGTGAAGGAAATCTGACTTTTACCTCTTTCCTTAGCTGGAGGATAAGGGTGCTTTGAGCTCTTGAGTATCTGACTTGTTCTAAACCAGTCAACTGCATTTTAGTCACTGTGATATTTTCCTGTTGCTTTTAATGAGTTCTTAGGTTTTCCAGACATTGAGGTTTGATGCTAGAGAAATGTATAATAACAATAGGGAAAGTAACTGGAATATCTTTGAAATGTCTTTTGAGGACTGTTATGGTGAGCTAGGAGTGCAGTCAATGATTACGTGGGTATGCAGTGAAACATCAAAAGAAGGTGGAATTCCTGTCTTACTGATAGTGGTAGAAATTTTACCATTGAGAGCAATTCTGGCCTTCTGGAGTTCAAAGGCTCCATAACTTTAGAACAAATTTTGAAAAACCCTAGATGCTGCATTTGTGACTGTAGGAGTAAACATCATGGGATGTTTTTTCGTCATATCCAGTAGCTACCCTTGACCTTTTCATTCATAGCAAATTTTATTAGAAATCTGTTCCTTCTTGAAGAGGAAAGTGTGCATGAGAAGGTCAAAACAGCTGAAGCCACAGCTAAAAACCAAAAGTATCAAATTTAACATCACTGTCACCAGAAAGCACCCTCGAAGGAGTCAAACCAAAGAGAAGGGTATAGGTGCTCTCACCATCTCCTTCTCTAGCACACTATGGGAAAGTAGCATGCCTGCAGACTGGAGCATGGGAATGGTGGGTCCTGTGTCTGATTCAGATCTCATGGAAAAACCAAAGTCCTCCTAAGATGGGTCTGTCTTCTTGTAACACTGATAGATCCTTTTCTCTCTTGCAGGGGAACTGTACTCTGGCAAGATGCTCTCTCTCTGGTGAGTCTAATGCTTTTATTTACAAACTACCTAGAAAGAACAGAGCTGATGATGGAGGTTGGTAATAGGTTTTATTGGGGTTTATTTCAATCAGTCATGTAATGAAGAAACAGTGAAATGAGCTAAGTTTCTGAGTGCCTCCCTTGCATAATGTACGTGCTGCCCGATCCCTTTGGCTCTGGTGAAGATTCCAACAGCACAGCACAGAGTATTTCAAGCACTGCAGTGCTTGAAGCATGTGCTGTTGCAGAGCCCTAGGTCTCTAATAAACTCCCTTGGAAATGATAGGTGAATATTGTGACGTATCAAATCTGGTTCACCTGCGAACTCTACTTTGGTGCCTAAACTGTTTTTCCTTAGAGCTCTGTTTCTTCTAGCTGTACTGTGTTTATATAGCATTACATCACTCACTTCTGATCCCACTTTGAGAAACCAGTTAAATCTTTTTTGGTTTCTAGAGTTCCAGTTCAGCTCTTTAGTAGGAGATGGTGTAAAAATTATATTGCTTTTTAAAAAAAAAAAAAACAAATGGGAAAATGGTTCTTCCTTCTGGCATTGTGTAATTGAGGTAATTATACTCTCCAGTTACTACTCTGACTCTCTTTAAGATCAGTCTGGAAAATTGCCCAGTGCCCTATAAGAGACAAAGGACAGGAGTTCAGTTCATAATAAAAATTGCAGTGTCAGGGCACGTGAGCAGTGTGGGAAGGGGACAGTGGGGTATGTGAAACTGAGAAGCTATGCAAGTACTATTTTGAGTTTTGGAAAATAAATTCTCTGGAAAGGGGGTGGACAGAGAAGAGGAATGATGGTAGCTGGCTACTCTGCCCTACACCCTCTTTTCATTCTTTCTTCCTCCTTACCTGTCCATGCAACTGTGAGGCTTCCTGGGAGGTGCCTCTTAGGGGGCTGCTTCAGTCCTGCCCTTTGTACTCAGCAGTCCTGGAGATGTTCCTCATGACTGTTTCCTGGTTTCCTTCTGAGTGAGGCGGCTGCTGCTTAGTTTGCCCTTTTCAAAGTTATCCTTATTAGCTTTGAGATCAAGATATAACTGTTTTTCCCATCCCTGTAAATCTAGATGAAGACAAGACCACTGTTCCTGGCAAGCTCCGGGCAGGTTTGATGGCACCGAGGTGTCTCTGCATGGCTATTAGTCCCAAGCTTCTTTCAGGGTGGACACCGGTGTCCTCTGCATTCTTTTACCTGACAGGGACATTTAAGGGCTGGATAACTTTCCTGTGGGGTAACTCCTTTCTCATTCACAGGTGTGGCTGGGAGCCAGGGATTGGCTTACACAAACAGCAGGAAGCTTCTGTAAGTATCCCCAGGAAAGCTGTAATGTGGAGAGACTGGGGCTGCTCCAGCCCTGAAAAGATTTGGGGGCTGAGAAACAGAATGTGGTTGGCTGTCATGAAATCCTTTTGCACATCTTAGGAGCGTGGAGATAGCCCTAACAAAATCTAGGTTTTGCAGGTCAGGAACTGAAAAGAAACTTTGAAACCAGATACCAAGGGCAGGGAAGGGACAGGAATCAGGAAACTGGTGACTAGAGGTGTTGTTTGCTCTATGATGGTCTTCTGATCGGTTTTCTGTCAGGAGAAATGGGGTCATTTACAGAGCTCTTGTTCCTATGACAGGGTTTGCATTGCTAAGGTGGTCTTGTAAAAATGTATTTGGGTAAATAATCATAAGAGCACATGCATAAAAGCCTGAAGTACTGGTCTGTTTGTATGAAGTAGCCTGTGCTAGAGGAAATGCTAAAGCATGTTTGTTTCAGCTTTCCAAATGTGATGTCAGTAGATGTAAAAATCATGCTTTGGAATGCTTGGAATTTCCAGCTTCCTGTGAAGAAACATGGTGGAGAGAAATATCTGTCTCTCGGATGTGTTGCCATAGGCAATTTATGGTGCTTTTCCTTTTTTTTTTTTTTTGGAGCAATCTAACAGCTTCTGTAGAGATGACAGTCCTAATCTGGAAGTAAAAAAATGGTAACTGCACTAGTCTTGTACATAGGGTGGGCTGTCTGGTCAGCCTTTAATCAGTGTTTAAACCACAGGGGTTCCGTTGAGTTGTCTGCCTAAATTAAAATTCCATGCGTGTCAGTTCTTATTGAGTTTCTGAGAGCACTAGTGATGGTAGGATGTGATGTTTCCTTTCTTACTGGATTGTTGCAGCTTGAGCAGTAAGTAGGAGTCCCTTAGAAAAAATACATCGGAACAGACAAGCAGCCTTTCACATCAGTTAAGCAAATGTAAATTCTTTACTTGAGCTTGGTGCTAGCATCCTGCTTAGGAACATACTTCTGTGTTCATACCTTTCTCTCTTCCTGCAGAGTAAATAGCTCCAGTGTCTTCACTGTCCGGTACTTCAGAACCACTGCAGTACGTAGTAAGTAAAAAGTCAGGAGTTAGCAGTATGCTTCTTTTGGTACCTCTTGCTGTCTTGACAACAGTTGAAGCTACCTTCCATCCTTGGTCATGGCTCACTGCTGTTCTGCCTGCATGGACAGCTGAGGGTTTATATCCCTGGGGCCCTAAGGATTTTGTCTGGCATTCCTGTCACAGTGTGACTTTCAGTCAAATGGAGATTTCTCTGCTGTTTAAATGTTAATCAGTGTTGAAGCAAAGAGAAGGCCAGCAATTGATGTCTGATGACCTACCCCCTTTAGCAGAATTGTGATGACAAGAACGAAGCAATGCCATAAGTTTTGAGCTCTGAATACATTCAGATCTATCTGTCTCTCTCACAGGGGATGACGTGGTTACAGTGAACACACCAGCCTTTGCAGAGTCAGTCACAGAAGGAGATGTCAGGTGGGAGAAAGGTAAGCACTTGCCTCTTCCCTGAAATTCTCAGCACCATTGCTGCTGCATTGGACAGCTCAGGGATGCACTGTAGTTCATTGGTTGACAGCCTGCTGTGTGCCTTTCGGTCTGTGACAAATGGGGCAGTTAATTGCAGGTCTCCTAAGGGATAAGGATTGCAGTTACTGCCTTGTCACTCCTAGTCATGGGTGATGTTGGGTGAAGGGAGTCTAAGCTGGAATCAGACTCTTATCTGTGCAGTGGATTGATTGTTTGAGATAGTCTTTTCTTTAGAAGTTGTGGAGAGCTGAGGTGAAAAAATTCTGGGTTAGTGTGGGAGACTGCTGTGGGTAAAGAGGGGAGGCCAGAGCACACCTCCCTCCTCACAGTGGTCTTCATATCTATCATTCAGCTGTTGGAGACACAGTGGCGGAAGATGAAGTGGTGTGTGAGATTGAAACAGACAAGGTAGGAGTTCTCTGGACCAAAACTTTTTCTAGTTCTGTAGCAGATACCCTGTATGGTTCCTCTCCTGCTAAGAGCTCCTACAGCCTGCAGGCCCTGACTGTGTCTCCTGCTCCCTTTATGGAGAAAAGCTTTTCTCATCAACTATGAGAGCTGGCTGTTCCTTGAGTGAGAATTCTTTAATAATTCTTCCTTACTCATACATTTGATTAATTATCAGTGCTGCTGATGTTTGTTGGAGGTGCATTTCCACTTCTCCTTCCAATTCCAAGAGTGCTCTAAGCTTTGAAACCTGTTTGTGTTTAAACAAAGAAGAAATCTGCAAGCCATAGGTTGTCTTCAAATTGTTTTAAATTTAGGCTTTAAATTTACCCACCCCTTAAAGGACTGTTAAGCTTTGAAGTTCTTGCTAAATTCTCTGCCAAGTTCTGCTTTCAGTGTTGCTGTCAGGAAGATTCTGGCAGCAGGTCAGTTCTTGACTGTACCCTGGAGATCAGGCTATATGTTGCACTGCCAGCATCTCCTGAAACTTCATTGGCACAAAATCTTGGTGGAGAGTGTGAAAACTGGTGCAAATGGTGTGAGACATAGCTGCTCTCTGTGCCAAGTTACAATCTGCAGATATTGGCATCTTCTCTTGGGCACTTGTTGTCCATCCAATGTTTGGGGGAATTTCACTGATTTTTCTTTTTTCAGACATCAGTGCAAGTTCCAGCCCCAGCAGCTGGTGTGATTGAAGCCCTTCTGGTACCCGATGGTGGCAAAGTGGAAGGAGGGACACCTCTGTTCAAACTCAGGAAAACTGGAGGTAAGTCAGGCATGTATAACTTGCACAGACCTTCCTGTTCCACCAATCTTTTTCTGAAGATGAAAGGAAAGCATTTAGAGGGATCCTGAGAGAGGTTAAATATTTCCTCCGTCTGCCTCTGTAGCTGGAAGAAAATTCTCCTATTCTGTTGTCTATTAGAAAAGCATAATTTTATTCTTCTTAGGGGGGAACTTCTGTTCCCTCAGGAGGAGACTGAGCTCTAAGCTAAAACTAGCTGAGAATTCCCCTAATAAAACTCCCTTCTCTGCCCTCTTTGTAGCATCCAATCTCCTGGACAGTGAGGAGATCAAGGGTGTTGATGCGTGAAACTCTTTCACCATGAGTTTCTCTTGTGGTGACTCTTGTCAGTTCAGTAGTGCTGAGAACATAAAGGCACTCTGCTGGAGGGTTAACTTTTATCAGATTGGTTCTGCTGGAGGGTTAACTGCTGGAGGGTTAACTTTTGTCAGGTTGGTTGGACTCTCAGATCCCTGGCACTGGAAGCTGTTGCATTTACCATGGTTCTTCCTTGTCTTTCAGCTGCTCCTGCCAAGGCTAAACCAGCAGCAGCCCCTCCTCCTCCTCCTTCAGCCCCTGAACCTGTAGCTGCGGCTGCTCCTCCCCCTCCCCCTCCTGCAGCACCAATTCCCACAACAATGCCACCAGTGCCGCCTGTGTCAACTCAGCCCATTGACAGCAAACCAGGTGAGGCAGCAGCTGATCATTCCTGTTCTCAAGCCTCTCTTCTTTGTGGAGAGCATGTAAGATTAAAGACTGCAAACAGTCTGGCATTTATGGCAAAGGCCTCCTGCATTATTCCCCTGCATGCTCCAGTATGGAGAGCTCAGCTATGCTCATGGAACTGTCCAAGCCCGGTGCAAGGCTGCTGCTGCGCTGCGTTGCTTAAGCAAGGAGCTCGAACGTGCTTTCTACCTCAGATCTTTTCTACATGACTTCCCTTTATGACTGATGTTTTTTTCCCCCTCAGTGTCTGCGGTGAAGCCGGCTGCAGCCCCAGCGGCAGCCCCTCTTGGGGAGGCAGTGCCCACCAAAGGTGTCAGATCAGAGCATAGGGTAAGCTGTGGGAATGGGATCTTGCCAGCGCTTCTGTTGCTGGGTGATAATCTGTTCTGGCATAAGCCTTGAGCTTTCCGGATGTGTTCATATCTACCTGTACACACCCAGCTCAGTGAGTGTGACAGATGGGGAAATTCTCTGCATGAGGAACCACTTACAGGTGGGGTGGAGGAAGAGCCAGAACCAATCCGACACAAGTCTTTTCTAGGCAAAAGTCTTGTCTTGAGTTCTGCTGACTGAGGACAGAAGGACTTGATGTGATCTGCTTGGTCTGTCCACAAGCCCTCAGCAAAGGGCTGAGGCTGCTGCAGCTGCCTTGTGCATTCTTAAGAGAACATGGCTGAGCAACCTGCTTTTTAGCAGTCTTGCTCTTCTCACATTAGCCACATGCTGGAAAGCTAAGCTTGCTTGGAGGTCCCAAGGAACGCAGAATACAGTGATGCATTTCAGCACTGCTTTTCAAGTGAACTGTGTGTTGACCTGAGCAGTGAAATCAACTCCTCAGCCCATCGTGCTCCTCAGGGAGACCTGGAGTGAAAACCTTGGTCCTAGGCATCTATTAATAGTCAGCTAGATGGCAAGGGAAGGACCTTTTGAGTTTCTTGTGTATTTTGCCCCTTGGATGAACTTGAGGCAGCTTCTGCTTATACCTTTTTAATTTTCAGGTGAAAATGAATAGGATGCGCCAGCGTATTGCTCAGCGGCTGAAAGAGGCTCAGAATACTTGTGCCATGCTGACCACTTTCAATGAGATCGATATGAGGTGAGGAGCAGACCTTTTTTTCCCTTTATGAGTAGAAACAGATGAAGGCAGTCAAAACCTTGCTGATTCTCTTTGGAGAGATTGGCAACATGTCTTTTGGGACCTCTCTCCTGGGTGTGTACCACAGTCTGCACAGCTTCTTTGGGGCCATGTTAGTGTTGCAGTATGAGGGGTACTTATCTTCCTGTTATTCCTCAGGAGTCATCTGCTGCTTGTAAAAGGGGTAGTCTGCTTCCTCTTCTGTGTGCTTGTTGGTGGGGCACTGGTAAATGTTAAGCAGAAGACCAGGAGGGACTAGTATCATTTGTGTAATGGCTGTTAGAAGACAGCAAGACGTAGCATCTGCTTTCTGCCACCCCACCAGGTTATTGCTTTTGGAGGTATTTAATTCCCAGTGAGGTGGTTCTCCAGGGTTCATCAGCCTTTTGGGTGAGCACTGCATAGGTCCGAGGTCTCTGCTGTCAGATGGTACAGCTTTCTGAAGACAAACTAGCATCCTTCCCCATCCCCTCCAAGCAGGTGAGGGTCTCCTGACTCAAGTGCTTGCGTGGACTGAACGCACTAATGGCTTTTGAGGGTGGGCAGCTTGTGTTACAGTGCATTAAGGGGAAATTGTGCCCAAATCAAATTGCCTTGTGTAATCCTATTCTGCTCCTTAAGACAAAACATGTAAATATTTGGATCTCAGAACAATAAGGCTGGCAAAATAGTCTTGATTAGAGGGAAGTGCTGCAGCTTTATCTCCTCTCAGAGGCTCATTGAGGTGTCGCTTTACGCCAGCATAGGGCTCTCATTGCATCTCGTAATCTAGTTTGGATAGATTGCTGGGAGGTTGACTTGTGAGGACCTGTGCTGGGGCCTCCTGCTTCCCATGGGAGTCAGTGTCTGAAAGGAGGAGGCCATAATGAGACAGTTTCATAGCAAATCACCTCCTCATTGCTGCAGTCATGCAGTTGTGTCTTGGGAGGCACTAATGTCTTTGGGCAGTAATCCTAGCTCTAAACAAGGTTAGGCGCAGGAAAACAAACACTGAACCATGGAGAACCATGCTCCTTGCTGAAACTGTCTCTTCAAAGACTCAAGGTGTCTGAGGAGGGGAGGGATGGACCATGCAATTCCACAGCGTCTGGTGTTAGCCTGGAATAGGCAGAGCTTGTAGCCACAGCTTGGGTGACTTTTTGTAAATGGCCTCAATTTTGATAAATAGACACAGTGGGAAAACGTGATTAGTCTGATTGAGAGCTGTGATTGGGCTGGCACCTACTACCATAGCACCAGGAAAGATTTCTTTCATATTCACTCAACTCCCAGAGTCAACTCAGAGAGTTAGATACAGAAGTGGTGTTGTGCTGGATGGTACTGGACTTGCAGAGTGATTGAGGTCTTTTCCTTTGTGCATCTTTTTCGCTTTTGGCATTTCCTGTTTTTTCACCCTTCTGTGTCAGCCCAGCCACACCTGCAGTTGCTGTCTGTGATGCCGCATGGGTATGAGCACTCCTACCTGGAGAATCAGTGGCAACATCAAGCCTAAGAAGGAAATGTGCCATGCCCCATCATGTTTCTGTGCCTGGCAGTGTGAGCCATGCAGGTTAACCTTGTCATGTTGATCCTTTGGCAGGAGCTTTAGAGCCACGTTCAGTACCTATGTCATTCGAAGGGTTTTCCAGGAGAGTGGTGGTTTCCCACTTGGTGCAGGTTTGCAGTCCCTGGGGCTGGCACTGAAATCTATTACAGAGCGAGGGAACAGTGTTTTCTTGGACTCCCTGCTTACCAGCATTATCATGCATTTTGCAGCAACATCCGGGAGATGAGAGCTGTACACAAGGATACCTTCCTGAAAAAGCACAACCTGAAGCTAGGTTTCATGTCAGCTTTTGTGAAAGCTGCAGCTTTTGCTCTGCAGGACCAGCCTGTTGTGAATGCAGGTGAGTGGTGACCCTTGCTGGTGAGTTGCATGTCTCACCAGTGAATGTGACGGAGTTGGGGAAGGCAGATGGCCAGGTCCATGGCAGGACTAATAGCTTGGACAAGCAAGTCAAACACACAGGAAAAAGGGAGACAGTCCCGCGTGCTGCAGCTGATTTCAAGTAGATAGAGGACAGCTTGCCAAGGGGGGCTCTGTTAGGAAAGGGTGGCCAGGAGTGGGACTGGGGCCATGCGTACGCAGCCCACAGAGGGCTGGTTGGTGTACATGTAGCTGCTGTAGGCACAGTGCAGTTCCTGGGGAGTGTCAGAGGTGCTTGCTGAAATCTAGAGGAGCGGAATAACCAAGGGAAAATAACTGAGGGCTGACCTGTGTGGGCTGGGTTTCCTCTGTCTATCCCGATGCTTCTCCCACAGGTGCAGCAAGGGCTTATTCTTCTCTGGAATTACATTTAAGCTAGGCATGAGCAAGTTGTTATGATTTTGTGGCTGCTTCTGGCCTGTTGAACCCTTGATCTTGGATACTACATGTGTAGCCCAACTTTTTTCTCTTTCTAGTGATTGATGACACGACCAAAGAGATTGTGTACAGGGACTATGTGGACATCAGTGTTGCTGTAGCAACTCCTCGGGTAGGTACCTTGGTTGCTTTGTCTCTGCTTCCTGCAGCCTTCGGTCTGGGATTGTCATATACTTTGAGCCAACTCAACTTTGCACTGTGCTGCAGCAGAAATTAAGTGATGACACTGATTGCGTAAATGAGACATCTAATACATTGTGGACTGCTGAGATAGCTTTTGAGAGAAGATGGTGGACCAAGAGTGTTCTGCCTCCTTACTAGGAGATGTGGTAACAGGGTCAATACAGATCTCAGTTGTTAATGAATAGGGCTAAGTTAGGGAAACCCTTTTTTGTCATGGATCCATGAGGGTATAGCATAGATAGTAAAAGCTTTGCATGTCATGTCCTTTGGCTAACACTGCTGTGCTGTTGCACAGAAATGTTCCTCTCCAGGGAGAGTATGGAATGGAGATACAGATGTTAATTAGTGAATTACCTTCTTGATTAGAAGATTCTGTTGTGAGGCAGAGTTTGGACCAGGACTGAAGTTCTGTCACTGCTCCCAAAGTCTAGGGGAGGCCCAGCTTAAAGGGACTCCACTCTTCTCACAGAGAAAAGAGGTGGCAGCTGAAATCTGTCCAGTGCCTCACCTGCTTTTATGAATGTGGAGCTGGATCCAAACAGACCTGGTTGATTTTATGAGACAGGCTAATGAAGACAAAGATATACTTTATGGTGTCAGCCCTTGGTGTGTGTCATGCCAGGTTTCCCGTCAGGCTGCCAGGGTGCAAGGCAGCTCTTCCTACCACCTGCTGTGCACTGAGGGTAAGGCAGGAACTCTATGGGTCTGCAGCCAGGCTCCTGCCCCATAATAGCTGTCTGTGTGTCGCTGCAGTGAATTTGCTGTTCATACAGTTTGGTTCTCCACAGGGTCTGGTGGTCCCTGTGGTTAGGAATGTAGAAAACATGAACTTTGCTGACATAGAGCGCGCTATCTACGAGCTGGGGGAGAAGGTAAGGAAAGTTGGAGGTTTTCCTGAAGAGGGTTGGGAGGCATGGGAGGAATTGGGAGTGCTGGATAGGCATGAATTGATTTGGTCTCTTTGTTGTCATCTCGGACCTCTAACATACTGAGTTGCGCTGTGGGGAGTGATCCAGTTACATCTGTAGCTGTGCCTGTGCCTTCCAGGACAGCCCTATCTACTTGTTGTCCTTTCAGAAGACCACAAACTATGCATTAGTGGCATGGTGTGTCTTCACCTTTGTCTTTAGAGGCCGAGGCTTAACTGCCCTGGGATAGAAGTCCCTGTGTCTTGTTTCCTGCAAAAACAGGACTTAGAAGCAAAGGCGAGAGAATCCTTCCCTAAAGCCACTAAATGTTCAGCTCTAAAGACAGATGCATTTTCAACTAATTTGTGCTGGGTTTCAGCTGAATAGATCAATAAGCGAAGCTCTTGCAATCAGTATTTATGGAGAGAGTGAATGTCCAAACCCTTTCCTTTGCTCTCTGTGATCTTTGTGCCTTTCTAAGACCTCACTTTTTCTTCTAGGCACGGAAGAATGAACTGGCCATTGAAGACATGGACGGTGGCACTTTCACAATCAGCAATGGAGGGGTTTTTGGGTCACTCTTTGGTACACCTATCATTAACCCACCCCAGTCTGCCATCTTAGGCATGCATGCCATCTTTGACAGGCCTGTGGCTGTGGGAGGCAAGGTAGGTGGACCTACACTGCAGGTTTTAGTGAACAGAGGGAAGGGCTCAGTGAGTTGAGGACCATAGTCCATATTTTCTAAGGGATTGTTGTCAACTTCTAAAAGGCTTTACTGTGAAGGAGAAGCAGAGACTAATGGGTGTAGGGCAGCTCTGCTGTCCCTTGTACTTGCCTTAGGTGTGCAGGGGGCCTTGTCCTATCTATGAGGGGTGGAACTGGACATAATCTGGTTAGGTGCAGAGAGGAGGAGGTTGTAGCCTTTGTGATAGGGAAGTGCTCCACAAAGGGACCTGCCTAGTCTTGTGTGTGGTGTGGACCAAGCCTGGGTGAGTGGCTAGGTAATCCTGCCAGGCAGTACAAATCCAGGAGGGCTTGAGCCCTGGATTCAGGGTCTTCCCTGAATTCACAGGAGGGGATCATGCAGGCAGTAGGGCTGAGCTCACTAATCCTTGTCTTATTCCTGCCTCTCAGATCGAGGTGCGGCCTATGATGTATGTGGCGCTGACGTACGATCACCGGCTGATCGACGGCAGAGAGGCAGTGACCTTCCTGCGCAAGATCAAGGCAGCGGTGGAGGATCCCCGCGTGCTGCTGCTCGACCTGTAGAGCAGTCACACCCCCACACAACCCACCCAGGACAGGCCACAGCACCAGCAGGGACAATGCAGGGCATTCAGGAACTGGCAAGGGTCATTCCAGTCTCTCTCCCTCCGCTGTGATTAGAGCTGTCCCAGAGGGAATTACAGGGATAGCTCCTACCTCCTTTCCTATTCTGTTTAATGAAGGTTTAGTATCTCTCAAGAACTGCCATGCAGTGGGCCAACCACTGAATGGCACTGCCTTTCCAGAGATATCTGTACAGCATCCTCTCCCTCACAGCACCAAAATCTCACCTCTAGCTTGTCCAATACCACTGGAAACTGCTTGCTGCTACCGTGCTAGGGTACTTTCCCCGCCCCTCCATGACGGGTTCAGCTTTATTGCCTAGCACTGAGGTTCCTGGGAGGGAGAGGAAAGGAAAGGCTACTGTCCTGTCCATTTTTTGCTTGAAAATATTTCACACTCACCTCCCTTGCAAGGGCAGTCTGGGGGACCCCCAGGCTCCTTGCAGCAGAGGTTTTGACCAGAGCAGGGCTTGAGGTAGGTGTCATGCTTCTGGCAGCGCCCTAGTTACACTCCCTCCACAGACAGTAACGTGGTGGCGGCAGCTCCCCTGCTTTCCCTTGGAGATTGTTTGTCTCTCACCAGCCTGGTCACTGTGGCGTGAATGTTCGTGTCCAGGTGGGCAGCGCCCGTGACCTCTGTGGAGGTAGCACTGTTCCCGGGGACAACCCTTTCACCATTACAGGCCTGACATGGGGGTGAGAATGAGCCCCCAGCAACTCTCCTTGAATCACAGCTCACTGGTGGTGGATCTGACTGCTGGCTTCCTGCGTGCAGGGGCTTGGCCTGCTTCCAGCAGACACAGCTGGGGGGGCCAGGCCTTTCACTGTAATGTATATCCCAGCCCATGGGTGCTGGTTTTGGGGGGAGGGGTCAGTCCTTAATCTGATAGCGCACACATGTATTGAGGGGTGAGGGGGTTGCTAGTGCCTGCAGAGTCTATTACTCTTACCCCCTACACAGAACTTGTAACTAAAATATTTAACACAGCGGATTTTAAATGAAATAAAAGTGGGCAATGACTGCAAGGTGGGGTGTGTTTGAGGGAGCGGCTCCTGGGCAAGGACTCAGTAATCAGCAGCATCCCTTGTGTAGTGTAAGAAGCCTGTTACCTGGTGGTGAGAGAAAAAAGGCAATGGGAGCTGGGCCCACCAGTGGTGGTACTAAATTGAGGCTTCTCTGCCTGTGAACTCTACTGTCCTTTAACTCCCTGCCAAAGAATTGGCTCTTCCTGGCAAAGATGAGGTTTTCAGGGCTGGAAATCATCCTTTTCTTGGTCTAGCAACAGAATTGTTACATATGGTGAGGAATTCCCACTGTTTGATAAAGGGCAGGATGGCCAAGAGGGAGACCTGGGACAGGTGTGGAGCCAGGTTGGATTTTCACTGCTACAACAGGGGAGAGTTGTAAATCATGCACATGGGGAAAAGGCTGTTGGGAGTTGCAGAAGGAGAAAGGAGGCTCAAAGCCTCAAAGGAGCTCAAAGAACTGTAAAGCAGAAGCTGGCTGTGGTGCTGAGTGTTTCCCCAAGGAACTGTCCTTGTTGGAACAATACAAAATCATTCCTGGATCATGGTAGGGTTTTCCCAGCTCTGACATCAACTTCAGAGAATGGTTTGCCCTTCCCAGCTACGGGTGAAGAGGGCAGCCCCTTCTAACAGAAAACGATAGCACTCACAGCTGGTAGGCTGACAAAAGGGAGAGCAGTTTGTGCCTGCGTTTTCTTGGCAGCTAGGGATAAACCAGTGTGTGGAGTCAGCTTTCCTCTCCCTGACCCTGGCTGAGGTAGAAGGTTAGAAGGAGAGGAAAAACCCCTTCCCTGTTCTGGAAGGGCAAAGGGTCTGGTTGTTCTTGCAAATGAGTGAAAGAGAAGGTTCTGATTTAAAAATGCTGCTAGCTCCAAGCCCTCCTTGCTGGTTTAGGATATGGAGGGCCTGTGAGCCGAGGGAAGGGCAATGCCTGTATTCTGCCTGGAGCTGCAATAAATGAGGCCTTTGAACTAACTAAGGAGTGAATGTACAGTCAAGCTTTTAAAATGAGGCAGCCTAGCAAACTGCTTTATTTAACCAGCCCTGTCAGGGCTCACTGTAGAGGGTCATGCTTGAAGCTTCCTTTCTTTTGACCCTCCTGGGTGACACCCATGGCACTGAGTTGCAGGAAGCCATGCCGTGACTTTGGCCACAGGGTCCTTCATCCTGAACCTCCCCTGAATCACAGGACTAGGAGGCTGGTGGACAAGGGTACAAGCCTGTAGCTGGACAGTTCGGACAGTGCAGGCTGCCCTGGAGAGGAAGAGCCCCAGGCTCAGCTGCTCCTGCTCTCTGGCCTGCTTGTGGCATCAGTGGTCATTCCCTGCTTAGTCCTCCCATTTTGTCATAGCCTTTAAGGTGTCCCTACCTTTGCTGGTGCAGATGAGTTTCTCCCAGACTCTGCTTCCCTCTGGTGGACAAGCATTCCTGCTGCTTCCCAAGAGCCAGGCTCAGTCAGCAAGGTGTTATTGCTGATGGCAAGCAGGAGCTGGAACCAGCTAGCCACAGAGAAGTTTCACTGGTGCCAGTAATTCCTTACTATCCGAGATAAGTGTACAGTGTGAGGGAGTGCTGGGAGAGGAGGGCCAGAACTACACTGCTGCCATTGCAAGCTTGTCCTTCAGCCTTTGAGTGGCTTTGAGTTGCACAACTGAGCACGGCAGCCTCTGCTTTGGGCTGTTAGCAGACACCGGTGTTCACGCTACTTTTTGTTCCATCCTGAATGTGTGTACACTTGGCCTCCTTCCATCTGTGCTGGCTTTCAGAGCTCACCTCTTTAAGCCCTCACTGTCTGGTCTACCAGGGATGACTGCTCAAAGCACAGCAATGAGGAGGGCTGGGCTGCTGTCCTGCCAGCTGGAAGAAGCACCAGGCACGGGAGGCTGGAGCCACAACAGGTAATGATGACAAAAATCAAGGCTGGAAGAAAACACAGGCACTCTGCATTTCTCCCAAATCTAAGCTGCAGCCCCCTGGCTGTGCAAACCTGAGAGGCTGTGAGGCAAGCGGGACACAAGGGGAGATGGCCAGGCACTTGGTGCCAGCTTCTGGATTTTGGCTGCATGGTGCTGATGGCCAGGGGACGACACCAACCCGGTGCTCACAGGCAGGTTTGAGAAACAGATTTGGGGCTCTCCCTTGCTCAGCATGCTTGGCCTAGGCCTGGCTCGTTCAGCTCAGAAACAAAAGAACATTTCTTCAAGCAATAATGAGTGGTTTATTTTTTCAGAGGGTGAGGGGGAGAAGAGCAGAGGGTTCCCTCCCATCTCACTCCTGCAGCAGGCATTACCCACACACACAGACATGCAGTAAGGGATGGGCAGAGAGCTTGGGCTCCAGCCAGCAGTACCCAGGGGGGCTGCATTTGAAAGCCACAAAAAGTAACAGAGCAGGAAGGTCACTGTGGTAGCAGCAGAGATAAAAAATGAGGAGTTCCAGGGTGTGGTGCTAAGCTGAGCAAGGGATGCCCCAGAAGGGGCACATGGCCTCTCCCTGGAGGTGAGCAGCTGGGCTCCCTTTCCCACTAGGGAGGACCTGGATGAAAAGACAGCCTGGCCCAGCCTGCAGCCTCCTCTTTGGAGATGCCAACAAACAAGCAGAGACAGGCCATGTAAGGCTGCAAAACTTCATGTGTACCCCAGCCCAGGGCAGCCCTTGAGGCAAACTTTCCCCAGCAGGCAGAGCTGCCAGTGCCACCTGGGGTCACAAGTGCCAGGGACAGAGGCTCGGTGCCCAGCTCCCTAAGGGAAGCACAGCCTGCCTAGCCCACCAGCTTGTTCCAGGGGACAGTGCTGAAGAAGGAGTGGGACTTCAGCTTGGCCATGCCACCTCCTCCGGAGCCCAAGCGCTGCTTTGGATTGTACTGCAGGAGCTGCAGAGAAAGGGGATGGGACAGCAGGAGAGGTAGATGGGAACACTGGAAAAGCAATCCAGTCTGCCTTTCCCCAGCCTCTAGCCCTGTCCTCCCTCCCATCCACCGAAGTCCCTCACCTCGGTGAGCAGCGATGTAGCAGCCAGGCTGAGCCCCTGTGGCAGATGTAGCTGGGTGTGAGGCTGAATTCCCGCCGGATGGTTTTGTGAGAGTGGCTGCAGGAAGCAGAGGGTGATGGTAAGCAGAGGCACAGAGGAGCACAGGAGCACCTCGCTGAGCCTTCATTGCTACACAACCCAGCCCTACACAGCAGGATTTAAAACCCAGGGCCTTTTACACCCAGAGACCATGCACAGGCACTAGGAATCACTTGTCCAAAGCGACCTGGCAAATCACTGAGGTGCCAGCAGGACAAGGCAGCCTTCCAGCCCCTGCACAGCAGGAAGCCCTTGTGCTACAGTGTCACCTCCTCCTCCCCCACCCTCCTTGCACAGCTCAGCCTCTTACCACTCCTGTCAGCAACTCATACAAGAGCGAGCCAAAGCTCCAATAGTCAGCTGCTTCAGTGGGCTCCATGATCCCCCCAACTTCTGCAGAAAAAGCCAGAGAGAGGTTAATGGGGGAGGCAGGGAGCACAAATGCTGGGCACATCTCGCACATACTATGCTGGGCACATCTCGCTGCCTGCAGAAGATCCCTCACCCCAGTTGGTGGCACTGGGCAGAGGACAGGACAAGGCAGGGCTTACATCCCTTACCTGGAGCACTGTACAGCTCTTCTCGTGCCTGGCTGCAGTACTGGGGCTCCACCTCTGTCCACTGGCCAAAGAAGGTGAGACGGACATGACCTGCAGAGCAGCACCGGAGCCGAAAGCAGGGAGATTAGGACAAGACTAGGGACTTTGTTTGGAGCACTAAGCCAAGCCATATCCCCACAATGGGAACAGCCAGGGTACTGGGCCCCTGTCATGCTCTGAACACAGAGGCACTGTGCATCCCCTGGCATCACACACACCCCCAGCCTTCCAGTGCTTGCCTGGGATATGCAGCACTTGGAGCTGGAGAGACTGGCTAGGTGGGCTCCAAGCTAACAGACCTCAGTGCAGGCTGTGGTGAGGAAAGAAGGGGTTTTTTGGGGGATGAGGGGGAAGGTTAGCTTTCCTCTTGCAAAACTCTCTGCATTTTTCTTAAGCAATTAGTAGATCTCCAGATGTTTGCCCCAGATGTTGCCAGCTGAGCAGTGACTTGGACTCAGAGCGGTACCCATAGCACAAAAGGATGGGAAGGCTCCAGAACACCTCACCAGGCAGTAACTAGGAGGAGAAAACTGCAGTCCCATTAACCTCAGCTGGTCTCAGCTTTCCCATGCTGGGATTTCCCAAGCAGCCAGCCCCCATGTGGGAGCAGGGGCAATGCATTCCTGCAGCTATAGCCCCTGATTCTCCTCCTGCAGAGCCAAATCTTGTACTAACCACTTGGAAAACCCGAGATCACACTTCCAACTTCAGGAACATTCAAACCTCTCCAAACTCCCATCCTCCTCCAAAGGAAACTCAAGAAAAGTCCATGTTTCCTGGAAATGGGGCAAGCAGCAGTCTCCCAGCTGAGAGACCAACCTTGTCCTCCTCGGAGCAGCAGCATGGGGCACTACCTACCAGCTGCATCAAGCAGCAGGTTCCTGGGGTTGAGGTCCCGGCACAATACACCCTGTTGATGAAGTCCCTCTAAGGCCAGGAGGATTTCTGCTGCCCACAGCTGCACCTGCTCCTCCTTCACAGCCCATGCTCTCTGGTTCTGCCTGTGGGAAGCCAAAGCCCTGCATGGTCCTGATGGTTGCTGCTTGCTGAGCTGGCCACAGGTCAAGCTTGCTTCTCGTGAGGGCTCCCACGCTGCTGGGTCAGGCCCACAGGGCTTGCCAGAGCTGGACGGGGCAACTCGTGCAGGAAGCTGCCTCTGACCCAAGATCAGGAGAGGCTGAGCCCAGGAGACCTCAGACACTTTCTGAGACAGTGGTTCCCCTGCCCCTGGCTGGCCCCTTCTTTTTGATCCAGGGGCAAGGGCCTGAGGAAGCCTGGAGTCTTGTTGGGAGGCTGTTCTCTCCGATACGCAGCCTGTGCTGCTGGTTAGATCATCCCAGAGGTAGACAACCAGGCCCTGGCCAGTGAGGTGGCCAGGGCATTTGGCTGATGCTGCTGGAAAATAGTCCACGACACCAGACACAGTCATGCTTGGATCCTGTCCTCCAGGTGCTGCCCTCATGCTGCTGGCAGGAGCCAGGAGAAGCTGGCGGTGGTTTCCTGAGCTGGGGTCTGTGGGCCCAAGGGACTGCTCCTGAGGGAGTGAAGCATCAGTGTTTTGGTGGGTCACAGAGCCTGGGAGGCCACTGCCTAACCAAGCTTGGCTGCTACCCTGGGAGCTTCCCACACCATCCTCTCTGCCACGGTCCCTCAGGGCTTGAATGGTGTTTGAATCAGAGTCCTCCTGGACGCAGTACTTGGAGCGGAGGTGAGACCACAGTGTCTCCCCTGGAAATCACAAAGAAGAACAAATGATGAGGAACAAAGTATCCCTGGTTCTCCCACCGTGGACACAGCCCATTCAAGCACAGGCCAAGGCCCACATACTGAGGATGTGACTGAGTATCATTAATCTCCCCTGCAGCAAAGCTCAAGTCCATGCAGAATATGCCCTAGCCCTACAAGCACACCATGCTCAACACCACACCTCCCCCAAGGACCTAGCACATCAAAGTCTCTTCCTTTAGCAGCCCTGCTCCCCATTCTGCACAGCCTCCTCGATCCCAGCTCTGCCACTTCCATGTCACAGAGCAGCCACATCTCCATGGATGCCCCTGATCCCACTGCCATCCCCACTTTCCCCTGAAATCCTTTCCTTCCTGTGTGACAGAGATGCCAGAGTTCCTGCAGCATGTCCCAGACCCCGTGGGTCAGCAATGAGCCAGAGCAGTGAGCCCTGGAGCCCACAGCATCCTGCCAGGGCTTCCCAGCCTCACTACATTCAGTGCTGGCTGCTTTCTGCCAATTCATCCTACAGCAAAGCACGAGTTGTTGAGGCTCCAACACACATCAGCCTCCGCTTGTCAT